AGCCCGCGCTGGAGCAGGTTTGCTGGCAGGACTTGTGACCCCATGGGGGACCCATGCTGGAGCAGTCTGTTCCTGAAGGACTGCAGCCCATGGGAAGGACTTACATTGGAAAAGTTTGTGAAGAACTGCAGTCTGTGGGAAGGACTTGCATTGGAGAAGTTCATGGAGGACTGTCTCCTGTGGGAGAGACCCCATGCTGGAGCAGGGGAAGAGAGTGAGGAGGAAGGAGCAGCAGAGACAACGTGTGATGAACTGACCGCAACCCCCATTCCCTGTCCCCCTGCGCCGCTGGCGGGGAGGAGGTAGAGAAAATCAGGAGCGACGTTGAGCCTGGGAAGAAGGGAGGGGTGGGGGGAAGGTGTGTTAAGGTTTGGTTTTTATTTTCTCATTACCTTACTCTGATCTTGATTGGTATTAAATTAAACTAATTTCCCCCAGTCAAGTCTGTTTCGCCTGTGATGGTAATTGGTGAGTGATCTCTCCCTGTCCTTATCTCAACCCATGAGCCTTTTGTTGTATTTTCTCTCCCTCCGTTCAATTGAGGAGGGGAGTGAGAGCGGCTTGGTGGGCACCTGGCGTCCAGCTAAGGTCAACCCACCACACGAATATGGGAAATACCTAGAATTTCTGTCAGGCTAAAAGGTCTGAATCTCCTTCAAGCTTCAGGAACAGCTGTTAATAGGGAACACATAATGTGGTCTGCTTGTTCTCCTGCTGCAGGCTGAAGATGGAGAAAGGAGCAAACCATGCATATGAGCTGGTCTCTTCTTAGCCCGAGGCTTCCTCTTACTGAACATTTTGCAGTTAGGTAAATGCAGGCCTACTAATGTTAGATATATGCACGCATATAATTCCTTTTAATACACATAGTCCTGATAGTTCTTTCAGTTTTTCTATTTTATATCTAGCATAGAGCTGTATTTCTGAAGTTTGAGTGCATTTGTGGGAATACATGGTTTCTCTTCCATATTATGAGAAGCTATTTGTAGGTGAAGAGGGTGTGCAAAAGCTGAAACGAGTGGAAAGAGAAGTGGGTTGAGACTTGGTGAGGAGACGGGGGCAAATAGCGTTTGCTGTTGTAAAAAGTAGAGAACTACTGCTTTTGAGCTGTCTGTATTTGCAAATGGGGAGGATGGAGAGCTGTAAGGTACTAAAACAACCCTGTGTAAGAGCAAAGTCATTCAAAATTAAGCAAGTTATTTCACTTTGGAAAACAAAAGTTACAATTTAACTTTCTCAAAATCATAGCTTTTCATTCTGGTTATGAAACCTGCTTAGAGTGCTGATAAATCAAGCACTCTGCCTCCTCTCCCACTGAGATAGCAAAAAGCAGACCCACAAGTAAGATAGAGGATAATGCTATAACTGCATGGCCTAGTGTCTGTCCTGTTAAGGGTTAATGTGTTTAATGAGTTTTGTCTAGAATGGTTTGGTGTTTTTGTATCGGCTCCTCTTTGATTTACTCTTTTTGGAACAACCACACTTCAACTCTTTTAAAACCTTTTGTCAGTGACTTTTTAAAAAAATAATATTGGCAAGCATGTAAAAAAAGTTCACTTGTTTCAATAATATATGTTATTTCTTTCCCCTTTTGCCACAGACTTGTTCTGTGACTCTTTAAAATAGAGGAGGTTCTTCCTTTTTGTTCTGTTCATTCAGCACCTTAAACAGAGTGTTTTTGATCAGTACTCGAGCAGTAAATGTTCAGCAAGTTCTAATACTTTGAATCCTACACAGAAGTTGCCGTTCCTAGTGTCTTCTGCTGCGTCAGGTCTGTAGAACAGCTGCTGGTACCACAACTATAATGTGAAGCTAGGTAGCACAGAAAGGATGAATCAAAAAGGCTTCTTTAAAACTGTCTTTGGTCAGCTGGAGAATAGTAAGACTCAGAGCAATACCTTGTTTTGGATAAAGGGAGAATAAATCATTGATTTTTTAAAAATTTCTCCTAGTCTAGGAATAATATAGTTGATAAAAGCCTGTAGAGCTTTGGGCTAGGTGATAACTGCAAACATTCAGTTAATTTTCCAAAGGTTTCCTAAACTCTTTGGTCAGTTTATCTTATGCTCCTGTCTTAGCTGCAGAAGAATATAGTTGTCCTTTATTAAGGGGGAGGGAGGGGAAAATGGAAATGTTTGGTTTCAAAGTTTTATTTTGGATTTTATTTCCTATGGATGCAAATCTTTGGAAATGTAAGCTGTTTGTCACAAAAAAAAAAAGGAAGGTAGGAAAACTAGTCACTTAGAGATGAAAATAGAACATTTCTGTTGCTGTGAAGCATAAGAACATCAGGTTTTCAACTTCACACTCTTATTCAGGATGGGAAAAGGTGGGAAGCAGATTTCCGTACAATTACATTGTGCAGTCTTCCAGGGAGAAGATGATCTTTTTTCTCCTAGCCGTTCCTTCAGTTTGCCTCCCTGAGCTCTTTTCCTGAGGAAGGAATATTTGCATGAGTGTGTGTCTGTGGTGCTCTTGTTTTTGTTTTAGCTTTGAAGCAACCCTCTGTCTGTGCTGTGGAGCTCAGTTACATGGTGTGTGACTTCTCAAGCAGAGCACTGCCTGGGGTTCTCGTGGTTCCCTAAAGCTGCGTATCGTGGGGGTCTGTGTCACCTTCTGACTGATCTTGTTTTCTATCACAGGGAATTAAAATTGACTGTGGCTTCTACTGAAGCTTTGGCCTCTGTTTTAAATGTTGACTATGAAAATGTCATTATTGTAACCTTCAGCAAGGCATTTAGCTAAATTTCCTTATGAACATTGCAACAACAGCTTTTTGCTTAATTCTACTCTTAACTTGTTTGCAAGGATGGTTATTTGCATCTTTGAGTTCAGTTTTCTTTCTTGCTTTTCAGTGCGTTCAACGTATACTTTTTAAATCAGTCTATTTACCACAGCGTAGGGAGGCTGCAGGAAGCACACCATACTTTGAAAATACAATAATGGTAATAAAAAAGTAATGAAGTTCATAATAATACATTTTTACAGTATAGTAGCTTGGACAAATGGAACTTGAATCTTTGTTGCTTATAAAGTCTTCAGATACTTGTTTCTGAAAGCTTTGGATACCTCAAGTATGAACCTGTAAGTTTTTGCAAAAAGTTTTTTTGCAAGGTAAGTGTAAGAAAAGAGGCTTGTCATGTACATGTATAATTTCCTACAGGCTGTAAAAACAGAGAGAGAAATTTTAAACATCTCCTTTTTCTTTTGGCTTTAGGAAGGATTTTGGAAGCTTGCCAATTTGTTTAAAAAACAGCCTGCTCAAATAACTTTGTTTTTATCTGCTATACAAGCACGCATTTCATCTTCATCTGGCTGGTCCAAATCTAGAAACAAATTAACTTTCTCCGTGACAGCTGGTATTCATATCTGATAGTAAATAAGTACTCTAAGTTGCATCCTATGCTAATGTCTGTAAACTTACAAGTTACCTTGTTTTGTAAAAACAATTCCTTACTGATGCTTGAGAAATGAAAAATGTCCATTCTTAAACTGTGATTAGATATTTTATGTAGAAAGGAAGGAGGAGGGACAGTGTAGCTTCCTTGGGTGTCTCAGGTCACATGTAAAGGAAAGAAAATCTAAGCCTAAATTAGTAATGGAGAAGGAAGTAGAATTTTCACACTTTTCCTTATGAAGACTTTCAGAAAGTATGAGTCACACTATTAAACCTACTATAAACCTACTATTTTAAAAACCTACTATGAACCTACTATTTTAAGAGATGATTTTCTCTAACATAGTCTTGACATTTTTACAGGCCTTTGGTAGTCTCAAGCCCTTCGTTTTTGTAGGTAAGTATATGGTATGTTTGGATCAGAACATTAACATCCATTTGTGGTAGTTCTTCACATTTAGTCACTATATCAACCCATAAGAATTTAACAGCTACGTAGTGATATTTCCTGTGACAGCAGATGTTTTTGGACCTTTACAGATCATGAGCCAAGTTGAGGGACAACAGAAGAATCTTGTACAAGCCATTGAAGCTCTCCCGAGTTCGGGGCCCCTTTCTGCCTTGGATCAGGACTTGCTGCTTTTAAAAGCTACCTCTGCTGCCACCCTGAGCTGCCTTGGAGAATGTCTGACTCTATTACAGCAAAGCATGCATCAAGTGGGCCAGCATCATAGCAGGACGCTGTCATCAGGTGAGCACAAGCTCTCTTGGGCATTATTTTATGTGCCTTGGGGTTTTTTTATTATCATACTGAAGCACGCAAAATTAACTATTCCTCAGAGAGGCAAGTTTGGGTGAGTGGCTTATTCTTGATGACAGTGCAGAACCTGCTTGGTTGGGTTTTTTTGCCTTTTTTTTTTTTTTTTTTTTTTAGATTGAAATCGCAATACAGATTTGTTTGATAAAAATACATGTAATATTACACAATGCTACAGTGAAAATTGTATTTCTAGTTTTCTACATGGAAGGATGCTGCTGAGGCAGATTTATTCCAGTCTGTGGTTTTCTTTAAATCTGGAAAGAGTTCTCCATGCTGCTATTTAAAAAAAAAAATCTGTGGCAAATTTTTATGAGCCTAAAATGTCAAACAGTGTGATTCTGCATTGAGCTCTGCAGGCATGAACCTCTCAGTCCCCATGTAGCTCAGTTTTTTTCAGTTCACCCAGTTCTACATCTCTGTCCATAATGTCGGAAGTTGGACCTTTAGCTTTCTGAAAGAGTGGTCAGTTTTTTTCCATACACAAACTGCACTGAATACTCTAAGAGAAGGAGCAGGACTTGATGTAAGAGGAGCAGCAGCAGCAGAACTCTGGGTATGGGGTGGCTTTTTATGTTTTCTTCAGGTGCTTCAACAACACCCCCCCCCCCCCCCCCCACCCCCCCCCCCCCCCCCCCCCATCACCTCAAACCCCCCCCCCCCCCCCCCAACCTGTCCTTACTTACAGTAGGTTTACTACAGGGCAGGATATACCTTCAGGGCTGCTGAGACAGCTAGGTAGGAAGCCCTCTGAAGAATTCCCATTGTTGGGAGATTAGAAATGTGAGAGGGTCAGCTAAGAAGTAGGGAAATGATGTAAAAAGGGTCCTTGGAAAAAACAGTGTAAAAACGTTGACACCTATACTATGGTATATCATGACTTTCTTGCATTCAGATTCTGATACATTTCATAAAGGAACATAAACAAAAAATTTTCTTATTTTCTGTATTCTGGTTTTCTTGTAGAAAATGCAAAAAAACCTTGCACGTATCTAAATAGTAATGATAAAGTGCATTTAATTGAGTTCTTTGATATAATTTCATTTCAAAAAAGAATGGTTTGGAACCAAGATGAAAAGCATCCTTCAAAGAAAAGTCACTTTCTAGTTTCAAAGTCCCTGAAGGTCGTTTTTCATGTCCATGTGATCTAAGTGAACTGCAAGAGATAGATGACTTGAGTTATACATGTCCTTGAATCTGTGTCCAAATAATCTTCTGTTAAATCAGTGTCTGTATTTTGACTTGATAATGTTTTTTGAGGATCTGTGCACAAGAACAGAGAAAAGCAAGCATAACATTAGTAATTGCTGAAAGGGAATCCCAGACTTTTTGGAAAAAAAGTGGAAAGCCACGATTATAAAGTACTTAATAAAATTTAATAAGTGTTTTTGTTTGTTCCTCCTAAGACTTTAAACTTACACAAGAATCCTTTCAGGAATCAAAATTCTGTAGCACTGGTTCACACCAGCATCTTGGGTGTAACTGTGAGATCCTGAATGCAAACAGTTATTCTTCAGTGTCTATGTGTGCTTATTCTTTGATATGTAATTTACAAACAAACAACTAAAAGCTGCTGAAATATTTAGTCCCTTCTCCCTGACTGAAAGAGTCTGTGAAACGATTTTTTTTTTCCCCTTTTCTTTTCCCCAGGCCTTGTTATGCAACTCGGTTGCCTGAAAGAGCCTGGCCTACAAGTCTTGATTACTGATTTTCCTACACACTTAATCTTGTCCATGCGTACTTTGATAAACATTTCTGCTGAGTCGGTAGAGTTTCAGAGTCTGCATAAACTCATACCTAATCAGACTAATGCCTTTAGAGTTTGCTAGAGGATTACTTAATTCTGAGAGGTGATATATTTCATTTCGATTCTGTGTGCTCCAGGTGAATTTTTTTTAATTTCATACCCAGAAGGTGCAACCAAAAGATGACCTTTACTGTCACCTGTTGATACTGTCAGGTGAAAATGACTCTTGTTAGTTTAAAAGCCGTATGTTCCTCTGACAGGAAGTCTCAAACGCCTTTCCCATGAGATGTGGTGGCCCTGTGCAATTTATTGCCAAATGTTTCCATCCCAGTGCTGTTTCATTACCTGCTGCATCGTGTCCAGATGCTAGTGGGCATTGTGGGGCAGGATCCACAGAATTTTGTAGGGAGAGACAAGATAGGAATTTGATAACTTATTTTCTTGCTTCTAGTCTACAGTTCACGAAAGCAGTCCAGTCCAGCAAAGCAGCACAGTCCTGCTCATGTGGAGTGTGAGAAATAATCAATGGCTCAGCTTTGGTGATTTGAACTTACCCTTGAGTTTGCCTTCCTTCAGCATCAAAAGCTCTCACTATTATGCCATAAAGAGAGAGAACTGCCTGAAAAGTAGATATATATCTACTTTCTCTGCTTTCTCTGTACCTTTGCTCTGCTTGTGTCCTTGAAGTCTTTATGGCTGATTACGGAAGGATTGCGGACTTCTCTGTGCACCGTAGCCCTTGCGATCTTACTGCTTCTCAAGCAAGGACTTAAAGTAGCTGAGAGTTTCTGACCTAGTCCTTACAGAATGCACTCATTAAGATTATAATTAAATAGTAGCTATTTTAAACAGATTTTATTGTTTTAAACAGAAAAAAAATACCTCCTTTCTTTTGATGTAAATATTTTTATTGCTTTGTTTTCCAGTAATGTGAGTAGAAAGAAAGCAGCTTGGCATTCAGTTTAGTGGAATCTTATCCAGAATCTAGGATTGTGTAGGTCTTGACTTTAAATATTTTTATGGCATCCTTTGTCATGGAATAGTTTAAGGATGACGTGATTTTTCCTCTTCATTTTCATGTTTCTCATGAGTTGTCAGTCTTAGGCCTCAAGCCTACAAGCAGACATGAAGACTAAACTGAAGTCTTTGATCTTGTGTTGAAGGGTGGTCAATACATGTTTTATTTCCACTATAAAGCTTCAAGGAAGGGTTTTTGTGATTGTCTTTTTTGTTAGTGCTTGATTTTGGAAGTGTATCAACAAGAACAGTCAGTGAAGCAAAATTCTGTCTGTCTCTCTACTTTTGAGTCAAAATAATGTCAAATAATGTCAAATTCATTTCTAGCTGTTGTTATTAAAGGTATGTGCATTGATCACTGGCTAAATTCTTTGTAATTTTTTCTTTCATTGAAAAATATGCTGGAGAAGGATATTATTAGCTGAAAGTTACATATAGCGTGAGTTGAGGATGAGGGATTGCATCTAATACAAGCTTCTTTGGGTTTGGGAATTTTGCTCTTTTTGTAGGAGGGGGAAAAATGTCAAGGATTCTCTTATAGGCCAAGAATGTCACCACTTAGGTACACGTAAAGTATTTGGTAATCAGCATTAAGTGCCTTGTGACAACCTTGAGTTCATTTAGCATGCAGACAGGAAACAGGTGCCTTTTAAAATGTGGAGAAGAGACTTCTGTCTTCACTTCAAACTTTAAAACTTCTACTGTTATTTTTTCCTCCTATGTAGCCTTTGGCAGAAGGGTATCTCTAGAGCCTATTGACTGCTACAGTTAACATCCTTCCCTCCCAAACTGCAAACAGAGCAAACTTGAATGTTTGTTTTAAAGTAGCTTTACCAGCTTATGTTGTGTTTTAAGTCTGGGTTTTTTTATTTCGGTGTTTTGGCAGACAGAATCCTGTCTTGTAGTAGCAGCCTGCACAGATAAATCCATTCTTTTCATCTGCGTTTCACATTAGCCATGAATAAAGCTTCTCCGTGATAGGAGTTCGCTCCTGTATTTTTCTGTTTTTCACTTGCCCCCTTTTCCAGAGTGTAAAATAGAATGTTTCTTTTTTCTGAGGATTTTTAAAAACAAAACCCAAACCCTTCCTCACTATGGATTTTCTGAAGTTCATTTGAATGTGCGAATGCTGCTTATTTTGGCTCCCATGGCAGCAAATGGATTGAAGATGATTCTGGAGTTGGGGGGGAATGTACTTGAACTTTATTTTAGCAGATTCTCTGTTGCCTGCTTTTTGGGGAAAATAAATGGACAGGAAAGACAAAATCTAGATGCTTTCAATTGGGTGACGAATGACAACTAGGGATTCTCCTGCAGCTGAGATGGCAGGAGGAGAGAAAAATGAGCAGAGGAGTCCTTTCTTGCTTAACCCCTCTCAGCCCCCCCCAAATGCTTGTGGGCAGGGAAGGGTGAGGAAAGAAGACAGGGTATGACATGTTCTTTGTTACTGGTGTAATTTACTAAATTTGGCATGGTCAGTCAGGTCTCCCTTAAATGCATCATCGCTAGACTTGCTTCTGTCAAGAATAACCAAAACAATTTGATGTTCTATCTAAATGCTAATACATTATTCCTTATATGTTCTTCTTTCTTTGTGTGATAGCGTTATTTTCTAGTCCCCGCACAGCATTAGCAAATACAATGTTGTCTTTCTAACCTGAAAAGCAGATGTGCAGCTGCCACTAGCTGTTGCTGGTTCAGCCTGCTGTAGGATTCAGCAGAGAGACAAAACTGTCGCATCCATCCCTGGCAGGGGAAGGAATCCAGATCTAATCTTGGTCTCTCCTTGAGGCCTACCGTTGCATTGTTAAGGGGATATTTGTTAGAGTATAGTTACAGTATATTGTAAGAGTTTTATCAATAGATGTTAGCTTACAATTGTGCCAGGAAAAAACGTGTGTTTTTTTTGTCTATAAACCAAGACCAGAGGACTTAAAAATAGAAAGGTTTTTGTTATAGAATTGAGGTAGGTGTTAAGCATATTTCATGCCTCAATTATCATGCAAAAGTGTAGTTTGAAGGTACATCAGGTATCTAGAAAATGAGAACAATAAAAGAAAATTATCAACATTCCTTAACTGAAAAATCTTCTGTAAACCTTCTCTTTGGGGAGAATTTCCCTCCCTCCTCCTGTGTGCACCTGTGAAAGGGAAACATGTTTCTCCTGAGGGCATTTGTGTGGGATACAGCCTATTGTGCCATCTGAAATAGATGGGGTTTTGTGAACTGTAGCATTGCTATAGGGAAAGGAGAGTAGGTTGTGTCTGGATGCTGTACTTTTCTTATGTAGAAGTGTTCTCCTCTGCCTTGGTGGATTTGTCTGCTGCGTGTTCATCACAGTGGAAATCCGTGTTGAGGGGAAGCGGGAAAGCAGCTCATTTGGGGATATTTTCTATAAGAACTCTCATTTTGTGTGTACATGTGCACTGAACTTCCAGAGGAATCAGGCTTGGGTTTTCATGCCTGGAACCACAGAACCAACACTGTGCAGGTAGAAGAGATCTGACTGATTTTACTAGTTGTGTATTTGGTACGTCCTTTCTAATTTTTGCATAGTTTGCTGCAGAAGTAGATGTTTTGTTTTAATTAGCGTAGAGCTTTGCATAGTCTTAAAGCAAATAGTAAAGTAGCTGTGAATGCTTTTATATAATTTGTGACTGCCTTTCTGGAGAATTTATTTAGAATTATGAAATGTATCAAAATAAGAATTGAATTTACCTTTCTGTCAGCTGTCTTTGGCTATGACTGAGAACAGAGCAAAAATCTGGCTTAAAAACAAAACAGTGACAGCAGTTTCTTCCTATTCTTATCAACTCTGAAGATAAACTTTCTCGTAATATGTTTAGTTTTTTTTTTTTTTTGTTCTTAAAGTCTTTAAAAGTACAGGAATTGAACTAGTGATAGAAAATTTTGAGTGCCATAAAGTGGCAAAGATGGCAACTCCATTAGAGTAGATCAAGTTATTTACAGATGGCAGCTTAGTCTGCAGAGAGTAAATTCCAATAAAATAATTTGATTTGATATCGGACAGAGAACAACTACCTGTACTATTTTGTGGTAAGAGTAATTTCTACTAGTGCAGATGAGAACATTTTGGATGTACAACTGATAATGTGAGTGAAGTAGGAGCCATGTTGTTGTGTTCTTTCACTTTCTATATAGAGATTGTGTTCTGATCTTAGTTGATTTTAAGATTATTTCTGATGAGTTCTCTCTTCATACTTTGCTTTTGCCTGAAAAGTAGGCTGCTATATTAGGCATATGGCAACTCCCTTGGGATGATACAAGAATGCTGACATCTCAGAGTAAGATTTGTAGGTTAAAGATTGTAGATTAAAGATCGTCAAAGGTTCCCTGATGACACTTTGAAACCAGACATGGAATTTTTTCAACTTGTTCAGAGAGCTGACTTTTTATTTATTTAGGTTTCTGTGGCGTATGACTAATATCTTTTACTGCGTGTGTCTCTTCTGCAAAGTAGTCAAAGTTCCAGGCAGACAGTTCAACAAAACAAATTTTCTCGTGTGCGGAGGTGTTGATGAAACAGATGTGCTTTATCCTTTGAACCTTAACTCTTGGCATCCTATTGGTGTTGGCTAGGTCATAATGTGTTGTTAAGATCTGTTTAAAAATTGATTAAGCTGACAAAATTTGTTGTTTTGTGAGGGTAGTATTGCCCTTGGGACAGGTGGAATAACATGCTCGCATAGTTCTAACAGTTTCTGTTTCTGTAAGAGAGTCTCTAAAATGTGTGGAGAAAGATTAAGTAAATAGTCTTTTTATGGTGTGTTTGTACTGAAGAGGAAAACAAGTGTAGTGTTTTTAAAAACATGTAATTGCTGAAGTAAATGTTCACACTTAAAAATTTCCCCTGAAGCAAGGTATTTATTCAAGTGTGAGGATTGTGTGTGTAGAGAGAAAATGGATAGTCCAAGGAAATGATTGGATGCCATACTTTCAAAGATTGCCATAAAGAGAAGTCAGTTCAATTTTTTTTTTTTTTTAGTTTCTCTTTAATAGACAACATCTTTAATAGGAAAATAGCAGCAATAATCCAATATTCAGCTGTTTGACAGGGAGAAACAGAAAAATAGATTGAGATTTGTTACTGCAAAGTAATGAAAAGCGAGAAGCATAGGCACGCTCCATCAAACTCTTTGTGGCTATTCAAAAGTGAAACAAGTTTATTGTAACTTCTTGCTTTTTTTTTCTCTTTGAAATCTGTACTAATTAACATCAAAAACAGTAAAAAATTTTTAACAGTTTGCAGACATGTGAATTCCCTCCAAGGAACCAATATTTTTATTTGAAATTTTCCAATTTACTTTTATTGTTCATGCTGATGGTATGCTCCCTTCCTCCCATGCAGCGAGAGTCCATTTTGGATCTGCCAAAACAATTTTCAGATTATCCTCTGAATCAGAGCTTGTGTTGCGGGATCTGGGGTTATCCTTTGTTCCTAGCAGTAAATTGCTCAAGACCTGAGGAGCAAGCAAAGAGATACTATGACTACAGTCGCTGTGCTCTTCATTCCTTGCCGTGTTTATCAACATCGTGTGTTGATTTAACTCCATCTTTGGAATGGGGGCAGATGTTAGCTTCTTGATGTATAGGACCAATGTGTAGAACCAATCCAAGAAAATGACCTTTTGCTTGATACTTGCATTTTCTCTCACATGGTTCACATAACTGGACCGGGACGTAGAACATCTGCTGGCATAATCCTCAAAGTCATTGAAACCCAAAAAGCGTTGCAGTATGTGGCCTGACAGCAGAGCCGCAGAGATGTTCTTCCTTTGGCAACGGGAAATTTGAGTCATTGTGTGAAATATACGTTAAAAAAAAAAAACAGACCTGGATTTTTTTTTTTTCCCTGTTGGTTACTCAGATCTTTGAAAATCATTTTATACTTAACTATTTGCTTATGCTTTCTTCAGCAAAAGATGGTGCCACAAAATCACACTAAGCAAGTAGTCCTGAAGTTTTGTCATGTCATCATAACTTAATGCCATTTTAGATGAGTGAAATGTTCTGTAATTATTTTATCTTTAGAATTCGGTATGAGGTCAGGTATAGGATTTGTGGCCCATTTTTTAATTATATATGTGTTAATATAATAGTACACAGCATTACCTCACCAGATCAAACCATTGACTTTAATTAGGAGGCAACCTCTGGTAACCCCTGGTGATATGGAGAGGAGATATTGCATGTTCTTTAATGTACTTTGTGTTGATTTGGGTCACCTTAAAAAGTTGTCAGTGATGAGAGAAGGAGATCGTCCCTGTGGCACTAATTGTGTTTTCATATACAAATTATGGTAATGACTGAAGAGCTGCAATTTTCTTATCCATATCTCTGTATTTTATAGCAGCGTGTAATTAATAGCTGAAATTTAAGCCCTATGCTGAGGGCTACTGATTTGAATGTTGATACTGTTTTAGAGCAGTAAGGGAGGAACAACTGTGCAGTTGCCTTAGCTGACATTCTTTCTGTCTTGGCATCCTTAAATACTGGCCCATCCTGGAAATCAGGTGCCCCCAGAAATAAGGGTTATTCTGATGTCTAGTTCTGTTTGATTCATATTTAATGTGTATCTTTCTAATGAGACCTCTTCTAAACTGTGGTCTTGGGACTAGTAAAGCATTTTAGCACTTAATCTAGAAAGAGCTTTTAGTAGTACAGACAGAAATAAAATACAGCTGCTAAGCTTAAAACTCCGATTTCAGGCAGAAGAAATGGAGGGATGTGGGACATATTACCTGAACTAGTCTTTGGACTGGGGTCTGATGCAAAAGCTAGATAATTTGTCACCCTTCTGGTACTGATCTATATTTATAAGATGTGGCAAACACCTGCACTGTATCAAGAATGTTTACTTGGATAACTTCATAACTATTACAATACTGGATAGAGAATACTTGCTTAATTACCAAGATGTACCAGATTGTATAACCTTTAAGTATAATACTATCTGGTGGTAGGAGTAACATTTTAAAAACTTCCTTCGTTGACTTTAAAAAAAAAAAAGATCACAGATAAATTGGCATAGAAGATGCTAGAGTATTTTTGTTACTAAAGAAAAACTGAGCATGGAAGCAGAGAAGACATAGCAGTTCATTTATATTAGTAGAATGATGAGATGAATGGAAGAAATCTGTAATCTGTCTCTTGTAAGTTGACACCCATTTTCTGCTTCAGAAGGTATCCTGGGATGGCCTGGGCCCAAGTCGCACTCCACAGAGCAACTGAAAAATGGTGCCCTCAGCTCCTTATCATCTGCTAGTGCCAGCATTACATGGGCAATAGTACCATCTGCAACCCAGGATGGACAGGCACTACAACCAAACACAGAGGTAAGCATGCTAGGTCTCTATGGGCTGTTTCTGTTGTATCTGAGACTTGACATTGGTTAGATGCAAACCATGTGTGATGGTGGTTGCTTTTATTAATTACTTATTGTACTTTTTTCTTTATAGTACCCTATTTGTTTGAAATTAGTTGTGAAAATGCTAAGTTTCATGCAAAAATGTGCTCTAAAAACTAGAAAAATAGTGACTTGACAATATTGCTGTTCGCTTTTGCTTCTCTGAGGTACTTAGGACAGAGACAGCGGACTATGGCAAGCGTACAGTCTCTTTTCTAGTTGTAAAAGCATTTAACAGACTGTCAGTACACATTTCTATCTTCTGGTGATAGAAAAAGCTGTTTGTTTTTTATGCTGGTTTGAGATAGACAGGAGACACTAGGACCACAACGTTTGCTTGCTACTTGTTCTTCCATGTTGCTGTTTGCTCTTGGGTGTCTCTTGAGTACAGCTGACTATTCTTTGAGTTGAAAAAGTATATTGTTTTCTGACCCCTTTTCCTGTTAAGTGATTATGGGCAGAACTTGTCCACATCATCCTCCACCAGCCTGTTGATTTGTGCTTTTGTGGCATTTACTTGGTAAAGGGCAGTTCTGAAGCATCGACTCTTTGAGGAGGCTCACAGCTGCGTATCAGGCATCTCATGCACTGAAAGTCTTTCACCATGCCAAACTTCTCCAGCTTCTGCTGTCTGCTTCGGTTACCAGTGCTGCCCACCAGGAAAACACTTCACTCTGAGACCCCACAGATTGTAGGGCACCTGGAGCACGTGAGACCTGGAGAACTGGGAAGAAGTTTTTGAGAGAGCTGAAGAAACCCTTTTCTACTAGTGAATGCTCTCTGGCAATTGGAATGGCTTAAATTAAATGATATCGCCTTTAACAAAATGTGTAATGGCTGGGGATATCAATAAAACTGTTTGTTTTTCCAGTTCTTTTGTAGTATCTTGAATTGAATATAGTTCAAAAAAATCCAAGGATAAACCAGATTTTTTTTTTTAATAGCACGTGTTAATTTGGTCCTCTTCCAGATCTGTCCTTCAAAAGTAATTTCAAATTCTGTCACTCCTAGTGTCTGTTAATCACAATGTTTAAATTACCTATAATTGCTTTTTATTAGGAAGTTGTGTAATTACTTTTTCAGATAAGCCAACTGCAGTTCTTATAGTGTGTTTTTAAAACCAGAGGCTATTTAAGAATATGGTTTTGGGAGTTACTACTTTACTCACTGATCCACTGCAATTTGTTTTGTTAGGTTTTTTGATGTTTTTATTCTTGACCACCTGGTAAAGCCAAATGGGATGTGGAAGCATGGGCTTTGCAGCAAGAACATAAAGAGCAGCAGCTGATTTAACTCATCTCAGGGTATCATTTTGCAGTTGAGTTGAGCCATTTATGACTTGTTTTAAATGACAATTTTTTTTAAAGTCCAGTCTCCTCCCCTTCACTTGCTGATGAGAGATACAGAGTTGTGCGTGTGGCTTGAGGTACTGCTTCTCTTGTGGAACTCATGATTTATTGAGAAGGGAGTGCCCTTGAAGAGATGGATATAAACAAGGGAGCATAGCACTGTTTGTAGTACAGAATCCTCAGTGCTTTGTGGGAAGTCTTCCTGAAATCAGCAGCCTGCATTGGGAGGCCCTGGAGCACTAGCCCTTAAAAAGAAGAAAAAAAAAAGGGGGGGGGGGGGGGGGGGG